TCCCTCCCTCCCTCCTTCCTTCCTTCCTTCCTTCCTTCCTTCCTTCCTTCCTTCTCCTTTCTTCTCCCTTCTTCAGTGCCCTCCCTCCTCTTTCTTTCTGCCTTCCTTCCCTCTGTGGCTACATTTCCCTCTTGCCCCTTTTTAAAAAAATAATGCATACATTTTTTTGGTTAGGCTTCATTTTGACTCTTCCGTCCCATAAATATTTTACGCCACAATTTCTAAATATTAAAGGACGCTTTGGTTTTTGCTGCATCTCGACTTTGGCAATTTTTAAGTCGTGTGGAGCACAATTCCCAGAATCCCCCAGGCCACCATGTCTCATTGCTAGCTGCTGGGGAATTGTGGGAGCCCACACAGCTTATATTAAAACACTGGCTTGCCTCGCTTCTAAGCATTTCACTGCTGGAGGCCAGGCTGCTGGCAAATCGCAATTCCTTTATTCAATTTAGAGCTCTTGCATCTACAGAGTAAAATTTTTATTCTTTTTTAATCTTAAAAAGCAGGAACGTAGGACTATTTAAGTGGGGGGGAAACGGGTGAAGCGGAACGAAGGATCCCAGAGAAAAGTTGCACTCGGAAGCAGAGGACACGAACCCACCGGAACCGTGAGGTACTTCCGGCTTGTGGATTACCCTTTCCCCTTCCCCTTTTCCATGACTTAAACGAACACAAATGCCCGTCGTTAAGATGGCGGACCGGGGGGGGAAAAAAAGCGCCGCCGCTCTAGTCAGGCCATTCAGAGACGCGCTCTACGCCCTTTGGAGGCCGAGAGGGGGAGCGGCGGCGGCGGCGCTCGCGTCACTTCCGGCACGCCGACCCGGTGCGGACGGGGAAGTGGGCGGGGCTAAGGCACTTGGCGCAGCTGGGCGCAGCTGGGAGGTCGCGCGCTTGAGGCTGGCCCGGATTTGTGGGGAGGGGGGCGTCTTCTGCCCGCCCCCAGCCCAGATTTGAGGCAGTGGGGCCAGAGAGGCAGCCGGGGGCTCGGGGGCCCGAGAGAGCAGGGGAGGGTTAAGGGAACCAGGTATCTGGGGAGGCGACGAGGGTCCCAGGTGGCCGAGGGAGGGGGCAGAGGGGGGGGCAAAAAGGGCATTTAAGGCTCTCAGGCCCAAGAATAAGGGGGGGAGAGGAGGGGGCAAGGGAACAAAGAAGGGGGGCTCCAATGAGAAGGGGGGCTCCTAAGGGACCAAGATATTGCAAGGGGGGGGGAGAAAGGAGGATGGGAGGGGGGTGTCCCAGACCTCTGAGGATTGGGGGGGTGCAGGGGTGAAAGGGGGAGAGCAGCAGGGAGGTAGGGGGAG